TTTTTTTTCCCCACCCCCCAAATATGTATTTTTGATTTATCCAGCTCTAGTAGGACAGATATAAGTAAATGGATTTTTTATTTCTTTATTTCTTGTGCTTGTGTGCATTATAGTGGCTTTTTTAACAAATCAAATTATCTCCTTTATATCCGTGTTCTGCTTTGGAAACAGTTAATGGCTCCTCACCAGAGATAACCTTTATTCATGATAGAGGAGAAACACGATTATGGTTCCTTTCTCCTCTTCCCCCTGTCTTTTTTCCCTTTTAATTTTGTCCCCATTTCCGATTTTTTTTTCTTTTCCCTTTTTTTGCTTTTTTCTTATGTTTTCTTCCTCTTCCTCTTCTTTCCTCATGAATGCTAACACTATAATATGAATAAATAAGAGACTAAACTGATTACATTAGCATAATGTAATTGATCTACTTCAAACAGTATGTTTTTTGTTCAGCATTCAAGGAAGAATTAAACTCAGCAATAACTATTTGATTTCACTTCAGTCATTTTAAAGGATCTCCATTTTACTTTTCTCTCAGCACTCTATGGGAATCAGATTCCTTGAGCAGTCAGCAGTCAAATAGTCCATCACTAGAAACATTTTTTAAGATTTATTAGATGATTTTTAGTGTCACCTTCTACCTCTCAGACAAATATTTCTTTCATAAGGCACTTCTGGATTTTCCTAGCAATAATATTTCTGAAACTCTCCAGTAAGAACAGAGGACTTCTCGATGCCTGTTCTGTCAAGTTACTTTGCTTATTTTGAACGTCTGTTGCCATTTTGATTTATTTCTATTTTTTCCTCTTGTAGATTTACTTGAAAAACACAGATTTGTATACTGTAGAAGCCAACAACCCTCGTCAGCTAGTGGAAATTGCTGCCAGAGACATTGAAAAACTTCTGAGTAACAGGTCTAAAGCCTTGGTGGTGAGTACTAATGGGTTAGGTTTTCTATCTAGCATTAAAAAAAAAAAAAATTATTGAAACATGCTTGTATTGCTAATTTTGCTGCCTATACACTTAGATGAAGTGTCAGCCTGATGTGTACAGGACATATCATGTAGAAAGATGGCTTGTGACTTCATGGTAGAAAATTCACTCATTAGTTTGTTGGCATAGGCAGATGCTTATAATATTGATGGACAGATTAGGAACCATGGCCAAGTAACAAATGAAGTTATAAATAGATTGGAAAATATTCCTTTAAGTGACACACATGAACGTTTATGACGTGAATATCACTGTACTATACAGTCAGTAGTGATCTTGGGGAAATAAGGATTAGAGGTTTTTTTTTAATGTGATTTAAAAATTATGGTATCTTTGAAGTCATGATGTTCCTTTTGGTATTATTGCTAACTACGTCTGTTTATTTTGTCTCCTCATCTTTTTAGTTAGTCAGTCCTTGATGTTAGCAAATAATTCTTCTTCAACAAATGTCGCCATGTATGAATAAGATTAATTTCCATACCTATTCTATTTCTGATTTGCTAATTTAATCTATATTTCAATCAGGTTTCATAACAGCAAAGTTAATCCTGAACTATTCGTGTGAAAACCACTGCATTGTAACTTCACAATTTTTTATGCTTTAAATACGAAGTAGCTATTACTTTGAAGTGCTTTTGTCAGCAGTCCCTTTCTTTTCTATCGTGTAAGACACCAAACCTTGGTAATTCCTTTTATGATTCCTGCTCACATCACTCTGATTCGTATTAGAGTTTAGAGTGCTTTTCAGAAGATAGTGACCAAACATGCATGGGGGCATCTGGATGTATTCATAAGCATGCTTTTGACAGAGTAGAGCTATTAGAAATAGGTTTAAAGGACGGAACAGCAGACTGGGATTCCCTGAGCAATTACATATCCACATAGACTTGCAGATGAGTTTAGACATGTCATTTAAAGTAGAAGAGAGAAGAAAGAGGGATTAATTCAACTAACTGTAGATATCTACTCAGCTGGTCGTCTTACTCTCCTTTTTTGTTCAGTGGAATAAAACAGGTACTTCTCAGTCAGGACTGACCTGACATTTTCTGAATAAGACTTTAAAATGGGATGAACTACAGCCCAGAAGTACTTCTCTCTTTCTCTGTCAGAAGAACCTCAATGTAAATGTCTATACTGTAGGTGTATAAAGTTGGGTGAGATAAGTCCCACCCAAGAAGTCCTTTTATCAGTACAGTTTCCTGCAGCTGAAAAATCAGTCTGAGACTGAAACTACTGCTGCACACAATTCTGAGGACTAGCATTCTTGTAGGCGGTGAGGTTTTGCTTAGTCCATTATCCGTGCATAGATACCACAGGAGGTACACATTTTCCTGCCTTTTGTTCTTAGCAGGAGTTCACTCTTCCAGTTCCCACAACTTCCCTGACGTGCAGTGTACATCAATGTTATCTGGACCAAAGCTTCTCTTCTTCAGTCAAATCAGTGTAAAATAGATATGATTTTTTTTCTTGTTTCCTTGTTTTAACTTAGTGAGCATTTGTTTATGTAGCACTCTGTGGACTTTGTAGTATTACTGCAAACTGTTATTTGCAGACCTTTGTGAACACACCAGTTTTTCCACCATTTTCCCATCAACTTATGAAAGTCTGATGGTTTTAAGTTGTCACAGCCAAATCTTGAGACTCAATATGATGTAGTGGTTTGTGGTGGTTTGATCTTAAAACTTTTAAGAAACTTGAGTAAGTATCTCATGCTTAGTTTAGAAATTATTTCAGAACAGTTTTTCTGTGAATGTGGAAGAAGAAGGGTGCCTATCTCATTTTAGGCAAGCCTATGGTCACGTTTTGAAAAGGGTAATATAATTCTGTTCCCTGATGTAAAAGAAGATTAAATTAGGGGAAGGGTGTTCCTTCAGTCCAAGTTCCTTCTTTTTTTTAAAAGAAAAAATAAAATCTTGTACTCTTCAAAACTTCTCACACAATTTTAAATGATCAAGTCAATACATCTTTAAGGCAAATAAAAAGTACTCCAGATGTATTAGTGGGTAATGACTTACTACTTTAAAACCAATTTTATTATTTGAGAGGATGTGACTCATAATGTCTTTAATGCTTGGGGTTGCCATTACTGCCAGTGCTGCAGTGAATGTACAAAACTTATTATTTTTAGCTGCATGCCATCATTTCAGGATGCGTGTCAGCAAGACTTCTGCATGACATCTTTATCAACTTTGCCACTTCATGCAGAGTGAAATTAATCCCCAAATAGGTGGAAATAACTTAGCTATTCCAAAGTGCCAAAATAACGGTGCCAGAAGCGCGCACTAAAGAGTAATAGTTTACAAATCTGCAATTTGGGAAAAGAAAACAAATTTTTCTTTTCTTACTATAAGAACGTCCCTCCAATGCTAACTCCTTAACTGCCCAGGTGTGATAAAAAAAAAATGAAGTTTAATATCAGGCTTCAGTCTCCAAAAGAACGTTAAGTGCTGAACATTGGCAAGGCAACTAGACTAACACATACAACCTAGCACAACAGTTAAGTCGCTGCTTTCTGGATATTATTCACTACACGTGAACTCAAAACAGCTAGATAAACACGACAGCGTGGAACAAAGGTAAATACGTACCAACTGATGAATGCTATCGATGGCTCGGTTGTACTTGTCACAAAGCCTCTGCATGCTTTCAAAGCTACGTGGGGAGAAAGAA